GATCTTAGTGAAAAATCGGATGATACTTGAGAGAGAATGAGTTCTAGGCTTGAAAGTGGTAAAAGTGACTAAAAATAACTAAGTGTCATATATGTACCATAGAGTTTACGGCCGTAAACTCCATTTTATGGCCGTAAACTCCAAACTCTTGGAGTTTTGAGACTTGAATGTTGCACATTGAACTCTAGAGTATACTTCCTATAATTACCTCTTGAAGGTACTAGGCTTTAGAACACTCAAACATACTCTAAACAGTGCTAAAAGTTAGCAGAAACAAGTTTGACTTCGATTGAAGTGAATGGTTGTACAAGATAGAAATTTCGAGTTGTCACATTTTTGCAGGAGGGACTCACAACACTTCACAAAGCAATACTTGGCAAAAAGAATGCCATTTGTAATTATCTATTGAGAAATTCAGCCAGAATGTTGTTAAAATGTATCATTTTGATGACATTCTGTTAGCATATTTACAATTATATTCATTTTGAGAAATTCAGCCAAAATGTTGTTAAAATGTATCATTTTTAGAATGTTATTCTTAAGAATTATATTCATTTTGATGACATTCTTTTAGAATATTTACAATTATATTAAAATGTATCAGTATGTAAGATTATTTATGACTTTGTATTTAAGTTCGGATGTGTATGAATATATTAGAATGTTGTTATTATTCAATTTTAGATTCAAGAATTTTATTATTCTTTTTTAATATTCTAATAGAATAATATTCTAAAAAACAATATAGTAGAACATCATTTAACAAAATAACATGCTGACAGAATTAAAATTGAATTAATTAAAAAAATTAGAATTCAAAATTATGATAATAAAAAATCCCTTAAAATCCGAAAATTTCCATTTTAAATTTGTGTTTCCTAATTTGAAAGTAATGGAAATGTACATTTTTACCCTTCTTTTAATTAAATAGTATTATTTTGTTTATTTTTAATTTAATAATATGGATAAATGTCTTTCCTAAAATAACTAAAATGATTGGTCCTTAATCATTCCTACATCCACACAATAATTAGTTAGAATACAATAACCTAAGTATATATATATATATATATATATATATATATATATATATATATATAT